TGGGGGTGCATGGAGTTGTGTGGGGTTGCATGAAGTTGCATGGGGTTGCATGGAGTGCAGGAGGTGCATGAAGTTGCATGGGGTTAGGTGGATTTGCATGGGATTGCATGGAGTACATGAAGTGCATGGGGTTTCACGGAATGCATGAGGTGCATGGAGTTGTGTGGGGTCTCATGGAGTGCATGAGGTGCATGGGGTTGTGTGGGGTTGCATGGAGTTGCATGGGGTTGCATGAAGTGCAGGAGGTGCATGGGGTTGTGTGGGGTTGCATGGAGTTGCGTGGGGTTGCATGGAGTTGCATGGTGTTTCACGGAATGCATGAGGTGCATGGAGTTGTGTGGGGTCTCGTGGAGTGCAGGGGGTTGCATGGATTTGCATGGGGTTGCATGGAGTACATGAAGTGCAGGGGATTGCATGGGTTTGCATAGGGTTGCATGGAATGCATGTGGTGCATGGGGTTGTGTTGGGTTGCATGGAATGCATGAGGTGCACGGGGTTGTGTGGGGTTGTGGGGAGTTGCATGGGGTTGCATTGAGTGCATGGGGTTGCACGGAGTTGCATGGGGTTGTGTTGGTTTGCAAGAAGTGCATGGGTTGCACGGGATTGTGCGGGGCTGTGTGGAGTTGCATGAAGTTGCATGGAGTGCATGAGATACGTGGGGTTGCATGAAGTTGCATGGATTTGCATGGATTTGCATGGGATTGCATGAAGCCCATGGGGTTGCATGGAGTTGCTTGAGGTTGTATGGAGTGCATGAGCTGCGTGGAGTTGCATGGAGTGCATGAGATATGTGAGGTTGCATGGAGGTGCGTGGGGTTGTATGGAGTGCATGGGGTTGCATGAAGTGCATGGGAGTGTGTTGGGTTGCATGGAATGCATAGGGTTGCACGGAGTTGTGTGGGGTTGCATGGGGTCCATGCAGTTGCATGGAGTTGCATGAGGTGCATGGGGTTGCATGGAGTTGTGTGGGGTTGCACGGGGTTCATGCAGTTGCACGGATTTGCATGGGGTTGCATGGAGTTGTGTGGGGTTGCATGGAATCCATGCAGTTGCATGGAGTTGCATGGAGTTGCATGGAATGCACGATGTGCGTGGGGTTGCATGGAGTTGTGTGGGGTTGCATGGAGTTGCATGGAATGCATGGGGTTGCACTGAGTTGTGTGGGGTTGCATGGGACTGCATGGACTTGCAGGGGGTTGCATAGAGTGTATGAGTTGCATGGAGTTGCATGAAGTGCTTGAGGTGTGTGGAGTTGTGTGGGGTTGCAAGGAGTGCATGAGATCCGTGGGGTTGTGTGGGGTTGCATGAAGTTGCATGAGATGCATGAGATGCATGGGGTTGCATAGATTCCATGGGGTTGCATGGGATTGCATGGAGTGCATGAAGTGCAAGGGGTTGCATGGGGTTGCATGGGGTTGCATGGGGTTGCATGGAGTGCATGACGTGCAGGGGGTTGCACTGATTTGCATAGGGTTGCATGGACTGCATGAGGTTGCATGGAGTGTAAGAGTTGCATGGGGTTGTGTGGGGTTGTGTGGAGTTGCACGGGGTTGTGTGGTGCTGCATGAAGTTGCATGAAGTGCGTGAGACACGTGAGGTTGCATGGAGGTGCGTGAAGTGCATGGATTTGCATGGGATTGCATGGGGTTGCATGGAGCACATGAGGTACACGGGGTTGCATGGAGTTGGGAGGGGTTGCATGGGGTTGCATGGAGTGCTTGGGGTTGCATGAGACTTCGTGGGGTTGCATGGAGTGCCTGGGGTTGCATGGAGTGCCTGGGGTTGCATGAGACTTCATGGGGTTGCGTGGAGTGCCTGGGGTTGCATGGGGTTGCATGAAGTGCATGGGGTTGCGTGGGGTTGTGTGGAGTGCCTGGGGTTGCATGAGACTTCATGGGGTTGCATGGGGTTGCGTGG